GAACTTCGGACTCCCGGTTTAACGATAAAACAGCTGGTCTGCTGTATAATCAAACCATTGTGCTTTAATCAACTCAATAAAGCCACATAAGAGCACGACCCAAACATTATCTCACAATTCATTATTCTACTGCTAAAATAATTTCTTCACCTGCTTATTTTGTTGAAACAATTTGCTATAAAATAAAAATTATTTAAATTGAAAATTCCATTTTCATTTCACTTGTGCGGGATTGTGCCTTGAATTATTTTTAACCAAAATGTGCACTGTGTATTTTATACTTTAGTAATTCTCGAATTTTTGTTGTTTTTATATCAGCAACTATATCGTTTCCTGAGAACTTTGTTATGTGATTTTTCATTGGATATTTTCTTTCCATTTTACTGTAAACAGTGGGATGTACGTTTCTTTCAGTTTGGATATTAATTGCTTTTCCAAAATTAACTTTAATTTAATTTTATCTTAAACTTGAAAATAAATTCGCTTATATTTGGTTTTGCGAGTTCCAAGCTTACAAGTTTAAAATTAAAATATTTTTTTTTTTCGGAATATTCAAATCATTTGCTCTCTCTCTCTCTCTCTCTCTCTCTCTCTCTCTCTCTCTCTCTCTCTCTCTCTCTCTCTCTAATATCTTGGTTTTACTTTTTTGAAAGACATTTTGTTTCTTAAAAGATAGGATAGTAAGATTTGGTTGATATTCTCCATATCTTAAAACATTTTCAGAATTTTTTTCTGTCATCATTACAAGAAACTGCCCTCTAAATCTCCAGCCATATTTAATAATCGGAATTCTTCGGGTATGAAGCTTTAACAAATTTTTCCAGACATTTCTCTATTATTTTCATAAAATATTAAACGCAAATCCGATTGAATATTAATGTACAATACTAGCAATAAAAAGTTTTAAAAATTTACAAGCAACTTTTAATTTACAAAATGGATTTAAATGTGACTCATTAGCTGAATCACACTCTATAGTCGTGAGAATGTTTTTCTTTACCAATTCCTCGACAAAATGTCTTGTTGATAGGCAAAAAAGAGCGCAGTTTTTAAAGAATTAAATTCATATCATAATATTGGGTATTTTACTTTGCTAATGCACATGCAGATATGCTATAAATATTGCTATTGACCCCCTTTTTAGTAATTATGAAATGGTGTTAAATACCTATGTTGTATTAATTAGTTCTTTGTTTACAAACAGTGTTTATTAATTCTAAATGCTAATAATCTCGATTCGAGACCACTCACAAGGCGACTTTTTGACACAGGCATAAATACTTAACAAATAAGTTCGAGTCAATATTTTTCAACCCTAAAAAACTTTCAGCATTGTTCTTTTCCGTGTCTGCCTTGGCACCATTCATTTTGTCGCGTGTCGCTGTTTGTTTATGCGGTGGATTTTCTAGCTAAATGACATTTTTAACCATTCTCATTTGTTTAGTTTTTTACGCAATACTTACAAAAGCAACAATTTAAATATTTTTATTACGAGTGAAGGGGTCACAATTAACTTTATTTCTAGTCGCTTAAACTTGTCTTAATTTATCACCTAATAACTACTATGCTGAAATAACAAGGTTAAGACTTAACAATTACAGTTATTTTACCTCCTTAATGTGAAGTCTATGTACAATTTGAGGAAGTGAACTTTTAATTATGTTAAACTACTTAGGGTGAAAATTTAAAGTTTATGAAAGTGTAAAATATATTTATCAAAATGCTGCAGAAATTTGATAATTTCTTACTAAAATGTGTTAACATTAATACATTTTGTTTCAAATCTCAAATTGACTATCTCAGAAAAGAAGCTCATATGGTTTATTGAGTGCAAATAAATATAAACAAATTTATCCGGACGTGTCAAATTTTTATTTTTCTAAGTGAAATATATCACTACGATTACGCGAAAAATGCTAAACACATTTTCCCTTTTAAACAGATTACTGAGTTTAAGAATTCCTCACTTTCTTAAAATATTATAAAGCCGGGTGAAGACCTTTGGAAAATATTTTGTCGTGTGAATGCCCTGGTCAGATATTAGGATCCTCTTAAGTCTGTCTCTCGAAAAGAATTTTAAATGTCGCCGGTTAGAGAGAGAGAAAGAGAGAGAGAAAGAGAGAGAGATCAAAGGATGTACGTTCCTGCGAACAATTTAGTCTTTGTTTTTGATAGTTAAAAAAGCTTAATTTTTATTTCAGTGGAAATTAATAAGATTTTTTAAGGAAGAGCGTTCTAGGTAGCACTTATTTTGTTTAAAAATATTTTTTCTTCAAGGTTATAAATAATTTAAGTATGCCACTTTTTAAAATTGAATTTACACACACGAGTGTTCACGTTTTATCTTTTTAACAGGTCCTAAAATGTACTGGCACGTTTTACAAAATATTATTGAAAGTCTGTCACCCCCTTTGGTTTCAGGTAAGTCAAATGAGGGTAATGTGGTTAAGAATAAAATAAGGTTCTTAAAGAATTCAGAACTACCCCTTTCTCTAGCCCCCCGGAAGAAATAGATTTTCTAGATTGGATAATATGGACAAAAAATCCATTTTTTTTCCCGAGATACATGTACATGTGTAAGTCTTTTTTTTTTCTTTAGCTGACCCTTTTCATAAACGATGTCATGTCCCTGATATACAAGAACAACTAAAAGGTTTTAAATTGCGTAAACGGGCATCGATTGACATAAAGCCATTTATTGAGGTCTACTTATTATTTTATAATAATATAAATGTTGGCTTTTAGTTTTTACATAATAAATGCAAATATTCTTGTTCACCATTCCAAAGACGTCGTGTAAGTTAAGTTCAGTTTTGTTTTAAGTCAAGAGATATGCATCTCATAGACAATATTTATAATCATACATTTCAACACATATAATAATGAACATACATGTACAACACATATTGTATTTTCGATAATTAATAAATTAGATAAAGAGTAAATTATGGAATTAAGAAGTTGGCTGTTGTATATGGAATTCGAATTCCATTTAGAAGTTATGAAATCCATTATCAAAATAGTCAGTTTTATTGTATAGAAAATTAGTTCAAGAAGGAATAACATTATTTTTATTTGATCCACCTGCAAAAATGGTTGTAGTTGGTACTTGAATTCCGAGCCCGACACACCGAGAGTCATCCCGATGCGATGAGTGTTGTCTTTCAATACAGGTGTAACCTAAAGCGAATTCCTTATCAGTTAATTACTGTCAAGCGATATCAATATTCTTTAGGTAATTGGTTGAATCAATATTTCAAACTTAGCGATAATTCTAAAATATTGTGCACATTTTTCGTATTTGCTTACATGATTTCGTTGACAGAAAATAATTATTTCAGGAAAAAAATGCTTTCTTTTTTAAAAAAATACAAGACTATAAGAGGTATGTACGCAGTTCAGTTTTGACTTGAAATGGACATAACATGTACTTTATTATCGATTGGCATCAGCACCAATTAGGCGCACTAAGCAGGTCACGTGTTCAAGTGTAACGATGATCAACATCAATTTACCAATGGACTCTGAGCGTGCGCAAGCAGTGTCTCCCTGACTGATGCGCAACAAGTGTCTAGATCATATTAAATATTACTTTTTTGAGATCCTCAGATCATCTAAATACTCGAAATGAAGTTAGGCATTAAACTATAAACCCCACTTCATGAACACGGTGAGCAAAATTTTGCAAATGGCACAAAACACTCCTTCAACTTATTGAGGATTCTTTAGTGTCGCAAGTATTTGTAGTGAGATTGCTTCCAAGAATTAGATTGGCAAAGACCATATGCCTGAAGACGAGAGGATACAAAATTTTCAGCGATTTAAGATATATCGGTGTATTCCCCCTCAACCAACCAAAAACACAAAAAAAAATCTACACAATCTTTTTGTTTTTTTATTTATTAATGTAATCGAAACGTAAGCAAGGACAAAAAATAACTGTGTTCCCCTCACTGAGCTTCTTTTACTTGTACATCAAAATCACTAAATTAAAAAAAATCTGTTCAGACTTGAATAAAAACAAAAACAAAGGATGAAATCGGTTCCCTTTGATCGCAAGACCTGAAAAAATAGTTCCGGATTCAAATGCTTAATATTGAAATGATAATTATCTTCGTTGCATAAAATTATTTCAAATCTGAAAATTATTGGTGTGAATAATTTTTATTCCGCGTTTGAAGTTCGTGGTGGATTTAAGGTGTAATTGGTTAAGCTCTTATCAAAGGATTTACTATTCAAATTTAATTGATTTATAATAGAGTGGCTTATTTCGTTTTGATAGTTTTGGTCTTAGTCTATTAAAAAGTAAGAGGATTAATTTTCACTAAGCTTCTACGAGTATATTCTAAACCCAGAAACCCATTTTCTTTAATCACACGTGTTTAAAGTGGTTTAATATATCTACTTACTTTACCTATATTTATGTATCTTAGCTTTGAAGAGTTTATGTATTTGTTTAATTTGCGGTTTATTTACAACGTTTTCCTCATGTAAAACGTTGACAATTTTACTTATTCTTCTAACAGTCACAATAAATCGTAATGTAAATACAGAATAACATTTGAATTTATTCATGAGTCTTACGATGCCAAAGAGACACCTTAATCCGTTTTCATAACGGGGCTTTTCTCGTATGCTATTGGCACTGGAATGAAAGAAAATAATAAATGAACTATAAAATTTGTTTATTTTTCGAATTTTCTTGACATTTTGTCGTAATTGCCAAAAAATTGTAGTCCTGAACATTTAATCAAACTTTCGTATATAAGGAAGTCAGATGCCATCTTCATTCTTGAGAATTTTTAATTATAATTTTATGTTTCTAAGAAAAAAATTATTTCCTGGTGTCAATCCCACCAACTTAACTTCTCGCGAGAGATCTCAGGAATTATTTCCATTGTCTATTGATTTTAGCGCGGATTATCTCTGCTTGACACTTGCTTAGAAAAGGCACGCGTTTCAATAACGGATTAATTTGCATGATGATATAAAGAGCTACCTGATAAAAAAGAAAAACAAATCAAGGGGCATACACTACTGTGGTCGAGTCTCCGGAGGAAGGATAGCGAAAGATAAAGGTCAGTTTCCCTCAGTCTTTTTTTTTTGAAACAAATTTATATTTATATTTTTTCCTTCTGTCTTTTCCATTCCCCCCCCCCCCCCCCCCCCCAGTTTTTTTTTTTATTTTTTGGTCGTTTTTTAAATCCTGAACATTTTGACACTGAAGTAACACAGAAAATTATAGTACAATTTTGAAATGAATTGGTCGTTTTTTAGATCCAGAACATTTTGACAATCAAGTAACACAGAAAATTTTACTATTATTTTCTGTGTTACATGAGTGTCAAATGTTCAGGATTTTAAAAACGACCAAAAATTGAAAAGAAACTGAAAAATTATACGACGTATATTTATAAATGCAATTCAGAAAAAAATGAAGAAAAAATTAAATATGTGTCAAACAGACAATGAATACTAGTATATAAAATCTTTATTATAGAAATTTTAATGTAATGATAAAACAAACAAACAAAAAAATAAATAAATAAATAAAATGAAATAAAGGTAGAAATTAAATAAACTAAATGAATAAATAAATATTTAAAAATATTTTGAATAAATTTATTGTAATTAATAAACAAAAAAATAATAAAAGAATAAAGAGTGACTAATGGAAATTAGAAATTTAGGTAAATTATAATCTTTTTTATTTCGCAGACGGAGGCAGGCAATGCAGGGATTTGAGTGTGCGCCATTTGGGGAAGTATTTCCTGTAAAAATAACATCCCCAACCTGCAAAGATCTCGGAATTCCACGCGAGAGCGATGATGTCATTGTACCAGCGAGATTGATCAAGAATCCATCGCTTCATCTTGATGGCATTCGATATGAAGCCCTCGTTAAAAATTCCATGTCACCATCGGATCCGTTTTCTCCGCTGTGCATGATTCCGCTTCCGTCTCCTTTTACTTTAGAACACCTAGAGCCGACATTTATACGAAAACGAAACGAACGCGAACGGGACCGTGTTAGGTGTGTGAATGATGGATATGCAAGACTCAAAGAGCAACTCCCGTTAGAAAACAAACATAAAAGAATCAGCAAAGTAGAAATTCTCCGCCGTGCTATAGACTACATTAAGTATTTGAATGCAGTTTTAGAAACAGACAATAAAAATGGTTCTGACGAACACACACAGGAACAAAGTGCTTTCGAAAACAGAGATACAGAAATCATACAAGACAATGTGAACGAGGAATTTTCTCAAAATGACACCCTGGCAGTTTGTTGCCAAGACTTGTCACCGGAACAAAATACGAATTATTTCACGCTGGACAATCTCTCGGACTCGGATGAGATTTACGGTCAAGGGAGTGATCTTGGATATGAATCTTTTACGAGTGGATGTGAAATGGAGGACGATCAAACCGGAAGCTGTGACGTGGATTACAGTGAGTGCTCGAGAGGATTGAAGCGGCCGCTAGAGGGCGTATCCGCGGAAGACTGCTCCCCGTGCAAACAATAGTGCTCATTCAAATAGTGATGTTATGTACATGATCATTCTTTTTTTGTATGTGTTCTGAGTTTGTTGAGTGTAGTTGTGTCTACATAAGAAATAAATTAAAAAGGTAAAAAAAAACCTTTGCGACTCATTTTTTTTAAAATAATATAATTCCTCTTAAAAATCCTTTAAACTTACTTAATTACAGGTATATAGTTTGTGCAAGTCTACAGAGTCATGGAATGCAGGTAAAAACTATACCTGTCGTAAAGTGTAAATTTTCTGCTGTAATACAAGACATCATGGAACACAGTAATTAATGACATCTTTTATAAACTGCGTCGAGTTATATAAGTTCAGACGATATGTCAGAAATACAATTTTAATATAATCAACAATTCTTTTTCTACAGAGCACTTAGTAAGTGAAATAATAATTTCAAAAATTGCGCGTGCTTTAACATCTTCTCTTTGCGGTGTTTTACAATTTTTCTTGTTCAATACTGATTAAAAATAGTTATTTTTTATTCATTGATTGATTTATTTTGTTTTTATTTATCTATTTATTTATTTTTCTATTTATTTACCTATTTATTTATTTAACATAAGAATTTTATTTAGAATATTTTGAAGCGCACCATGAAGCTTTTTTTTAAAAAAAGTGACAGACATAACCTCATCAACATTTTATTTCTTTTAGTTATACTTGATTAAAAAAAGGTGCACTGAAAGAAGAAATCATTTTTGAGTGTTATTCATCACGATAAATTTTGATACAAATTAGATAGCGCAGCATATTCATAAAAAGTTTAAAGGTTTGGTGTTACTAATTTTAAGGGGTGAGGTTAGTAAGAATAAAAGTTATGTTTACAAGTTATTTACGATATTAATTAAGGACAACAGACTATTAAATAAAAATATTATGCTAATATTCTATACAATATAAATCTCTCACTATTCCAACGTTACAGCTTTTAATGTATATTTTAAAGTTGTACAAATTTAAACTAAATACTAAAGTTCCTTACAAAATTAATTACACTTATAATAGTATTTGATGATTTAGTGACCAAGGTTTTTTCTTTTAAAAAAATCTGTATAGATGTAGAAAAAAAACATATTCAAAATTTTCGGGAAAATTAAATCTGACAATGCAAACTTTTTACATCTTTTTTAGGGGGGGGGGGTACAATAAGAGATGCTTTTGTACCTTCATCATTCTGGTTAGTTTTGGAATATTTCTGGAAATCTACCAGACGCTCTGCTGTCTCCGTAAATCTTCAACATAGTGGGCCAGCATTATGATATTGTTTGAGGCATGAAGGAAAGTATATTGAGGGTGGTAGTATCAACGGAGAGGGACAGGGGAAGCCCCTCTTTCTCCCCATTTCTTTTTTTGAAATATAAATATTCATTACTTTTACTACTGCAATGTTCATTGATAGGCTTGTACTTGTAGTTAGCCCAACCTTTTTGTTGCAGTATACAGTGAAATCAGGTTATGTGGTAATCTATGAATAAATTTGGGTATGATTTTTTCTGTAAAAAATTTTCTTTTTCTCGCTACCCCCCCCCCCCCCCCACGCACACATGCATACACAAACCACACCCTTTCAAAAACGATTCTTTGTAACTGGTATTCTTTTCCTTTGTTGAATACACATTTATTTAGTATTTATTTTTTAATGACTGTGCAGATGAGAATACTTAATCTGAGAGGGGGCATAAATTAAAAAAAAGTTAAATGACAGAAGGCACGTTTAGTTATGAATAAATACATGAATAAACTAAAATCCTTTTAAAAATCTTAAACACAGGAACGCTAAACCGGCACGTAGGAAAACGGGGAGAGAAAGGTCCACACAAATATGAATACACGTGCATGTAACTTTGGAAATCAAAGCGTAGTTTCAAATAATTGTTCCCGATAAACAAATTTTTCCTGTAAAAAACTTTGATTAAGAAAGGGACTTTGCTCCTATAAAAATACTGTCTGATGACCTTTCTCTTTCTCTCTTCTTTCTTTAAATTCATTTCCATTTTTTTAACTTGCTTTTTACGGCTGTGATAGATAACATATGTTCTGCCAAAAGAAATACATGCATGCTTTGTCAAGATCAATCTAGAGTTGTCTTTCTTTTACCCTCTGCAGCTCGTCCCAGCTTCGTGAGAATCATTTGTGGACAGTTAATCACTGTGTATTAATGGTACATGTTCTAGCAACTGTTTCTAGAGAACAAAAAGCAGCAAACAAAGACAAAACAATTTCTTCAAATGCAAGTCGAAGACGAATTCTAAGGTCAAAAGATGAAAAATATTATCACGAAGCAAAAGTTACCACTTTTGAATTACATATATATTTAGATTTTATTACACATAATTTTAATTTTTAAAATTTAAAACGAGAAATTTACTCTGATGAAATTATACTTTTGAAATATATTTTTGAAGAAAATTGTTTTAATTATTACTCATAATAAATATTTATTGTCGTGTACTTATTTTAATTTTCAAATAAAAATCAGTAAACGACAATATTGCTACCCAAAGAAAAAACGTCTAAATAAGTAAACCTGGTGCCAATGTTAAAGTTTGTCAACAGTAGGCTAAATGACCTGGTCAAGGTCAAAAGATCATAATTGTTTGGTATCCAGTGGAAGACCTTGTCACAAGAAATATACATTTAGTGGAGATATTAAGGCCCTAGTATGAAATGTTCACATTTTCTTAAAAGTGGGTCAAACTCACAGATCAAAAATATTCATATCCCAGGAAAAATCTAGTCTCGATATATACACATAAATTATGAAGTAAGAAAGCTCTTTGATAAAGTTTTGCAAAAGTTGGTCAAGCTCTAAGGTCAAGGTCAAGTTTGGCGAAATTTAGAGAAAGGTCTTGCCACAAGGAATACACAGGTAAAATATGAAAGCCATTGTTTATAAACCAATCAGTAATTCAATATAGACAAGGTTAAAATTGTTTAGCTCCATTTCAATAACAGCCAAATTGAATAAATATATTATTGTATGAAATAATCTGTTCAATTGAACATTAATGTCGTCCATGATATTTTTCCTTCATTCGTACCATTATTATATATATTATATGTATTTTTCTTTTTTTCTATTTCATTTTCATTTTCTGAGTAAGTATATCATACTCTTGTACTTCTGACCTGAATTTATATGCTGTAAAAATATTTTTCATTGTCCTCATGTATCATATATTTTAAATGGTTTTGAGTAAGTACATAAAGTTGAACCTGAAAATCACAAGTTTACCTTAAAAATAACCAATGCTTCACTGGATTAGATGGGCATAAAAAAGTCGCTCTCTAGCACCTTTAATAGGCCAGGGTCCTCCCTCAAACTATTTCTGGTCAGCTGACCGCACTTTTCAGAGGTCAAGTTAGCTAAGTGTGCAACATCTCCTACATACATGTACATTCTACATGTACCACACGTGACTATATAATACGGTCACGTTCAGTTTGGTCTTTAACCATGTCCTCTTTTTGTTATCAAAAATTGCAGAGACGATTAAATGGATCGAAAGGGATCAAAAGTTTTGATTTAATTTTGAAATCATTCATTTGCAAGATTGTATGATATACTACTAGATTAAACGTTTTTAATATTAAAATGAAAGAAAACAAAGTGAATGTACACCTGGCCTTTATGACATACTGAGGATTGATTTCTTAAAAACAAAGCTCGTTGTGGAAATAAAAAGTAGGTAAAACTTTAAGGTCACGAGGTAAAAAATCATAGTGTACATGTATACTTAAAAAGGTGTCACATGTCACAGGTAATACAAATCTTTATTATGAAGCTTAAAATTTAAGGTCAATTCAAAGTAATGTTTTATTTTTTTTCAAAAGGAGGTCAAATTTCAAGGTCATGGGGTCAAAAATCATAATTTATTTAGAACGGTCTTGTCACAGATAATATTTACATTCGTAATATGAAAGCCCTATCCTTTCTAATACAAAAGATATGACCAGGTGATAGAACGGACAGAACTACACACTGACAGACAAATGAGATTTAATGTCCTCTCGCTTGAAATCGCGAAAGCGAGGGACAAAAACAAATCAAGGTCAATTCAACATCAGCATAATGCTAATTTTTTTTTTTTTTTTTTTTTTTTTGCACAGAAGAATGTTTACGTTTAAGACACATAACAAAAAACGTAAATAAATGAGTTTGTTGAAAGGGTGCTTCACCTTTTTGTACTTAAGACCACAGCAATAAGATCCATACTATTCTAATTGACGCATACAAGGGTTATTATTATAAAGTTGCGGACTTCTGTCATAATTTGTTTGACTTAACCTCTCATTGCGTCATTACATATATACATCTTACTGTTCATTATTTACAAGCATATCATCCGAATTGTGGAAATTGTTTTATAACAATAAATTCAAATAATACATGTATGAAATAAAATATACTTAAACAATTCATTATTAATTTAATACTCGTTCAGATCTAAAAGCTGCGAAAATGAGATTGCAGAGCAGGTAAAATATATTAATTTGCAAGAATTACACCATATATTGTCTGTAAACTCCTTAAAAGTGTTCATACGAAAGACATGTTATTTTCTATAAAGAGCTCTCGGGGGGGGGGGGGGGGGCATATAAGCACATGTACGTTTTAAGCGGGTAGTACCTCTCTTTCTGAGAATATTTAGTTTTTTTGCAGTAGCTGTAATGAAAAACTTGGTGCCGCGTAACTATAAGGAATATAGGGACGATAACCGAGGCTCGTACCTGTGAGTAACCTCCTCCCCACATTTAGTTGCAGTTCTGTCGAAATCTGACAAATTCCAGCATATAACAAAATATCTTTGGTCTGAAAAGGTTTTTAGTTTAAGTTTTAATAAAGATAAATATGTAAATATGAATTATAATGAAGATGCTTCGTGAAAATATTTTAAAAACAATAAAATCAAAGATTTAATGAAAAGAAAATGCACATCTTTACTCAACCTCACTAATCTTAACATCGAATGTTCTTCCGAGAAAATAAATTT